CACCATCGCTCTGTTCACCAGCATCTCTGCAGCACACAGAAAACAAAACCACATGATGTGTGTGTGTGTGTGTGTGTGTGTGTGTGTGTGTGTGTGTGTGTGTGTGTGCATTTTCACACCTGTGTTAGCCATTATTTTCCAAACAGAGCTCTTCAGTGACACAGTCGCATGTACTTTAGAGCTCTTGGGAATGGGCATTCATCAAAGTCACCAGGTAAAAAGGACTGTGTGTGTGTGTGGGAGTGGGATTGTTTGTGCAGGAAAGCATGGAGCATGTGTGTGATTTACGGCAACGCTCGTGTAGCTAATGTGAGCTTGTCTGTAATCATTGTGGATGTTTATGTGTTTGTATGTGTGTTTGACTCTTTTAACCTTGGTGCTTGTCCTCCCTGTGCCTTCTTTCCTTGTCATCCATCTGTGCTTGTAGGTCTTTTTGTGTCTTTTTCATCTGTTCTCTCCTCGTTTGCTCACAGCCAACATCTTCTCCCTGTACATGAAACCAGCACACAGGTTATCATTAAATAAATTTGTTCTTTTAGTCTTGAAGCACAGACCTTGAGCTTACATGGAAGATTTGCATGCTGGCAGGCCCAAGTTTACCCTCTGGAACTGTAGTCTTGAATGCCCCCTTCAGGTCTAAATTCAGATCTGCATCACTGGAGTCCTCCACTTGCTGCTGAGAGGCCCAGTACTGGGTCAGGTCCTTAAATGTGGCTTTTCTCTTCTCTTTCTCATCAATATCTCGCTGAAGAAGAAATCGGTCTTGTTGGTTTCTCAGCATATCTGAAGTAGATAAAAAATATATGTACTTGTGATTTAGTGAAAATTAAAGGAATCCAAATTTTGTCTGTGCAAACAGCCCATCGTGTAGCTACCCCAAGCTTTGTCTTGTTGCTTCTTCGTGTGTTGCTGGAGCTTTTTCTCTTGGACTTGCTTGTTCAGAGCATCTACATCAAGACCCATCACGCGTAACCGGGTGTTGTAAATCCAAGCCTTACGTTCTGCTTCTGCAGACCTTCTTTTATCTATAGCCCTTTCCATAGATTGGTCTACAGGCAAATCCACTCTGTACATATTTACAGATGAGTCTCTGAGGGAACATAATTTAAAGATTAAAATCTGGTTAATTACTTTGTCAGAAAACTGATTTGTGCCTTTGTGTGCTAACTACTGAAACAACCCAGCATGTGTTGTGTTTTGGATGCTATGCTGGCTGGGCAATGATAGTCCAGCATGGAATGCTGTTAACTGAATTCCGGTTCAATATGTTGGTCCAGGATAGGATGCTGGTCTAGTATCTGGACCAGCATCCAAAACGCAACACACGCAACGTTTTTTTCAGCTCATGCTGTTGCAATCTGATCACATAAGCACCTCAGACTCTAGGAAAATAATGCTCTTCAAATTAGCTGTATTTTCTTTTAAATCAATAAATATTCACATGTTTAAGGCACTTCTTACCTGTGAAGCAACAGTACCATGAAACAATAACACAGCTCAGTAAATGTCCTTTCTCAGCTGTTGAATGTTGTGTTTAAACATGACAGTAACCATGGAAACACCTGCCCATCTCAACCGATCGTGAAAAGTGACTTGTGTAGCCTCCTAAAAACAAAATGTCTCTCATTTTTAAAAGATATTTAGGAAAATTGACTAACCATTTAGAAGGGTAAAAGTTAAAATTTTGGGAACAGCACAGCAGCCAGCAAGGGGGGGGGGGGGGGGGGGTCTTGTCTCGCGAGTAAATGCGAGATTTCGTGTCTCGCGCGGGTCTCGCTTTTAGATTGTAAAATGGCGCTTTGTTGTTGCAGTAATTCATAATCCGTTTATTAATTATCATCACGTTGTATATTTTGTCAGGCTAAACGTGTTCTACACGATGTAACGTTTGCAAACCCCGGCAATAGGCTGGACAGGAAGATTCATTCATTTGCGTGCACTATTGGTTTTTTTAAATAGTTTGCAAGCTGGGCTGGGTGTTAGCATTAGCACAGTAGCTAATATTCTCCGTGCTGATTGTATCCAGACTGCGTCGCAAACAAAACGAAGATGGGCTATTTAAAACTAATAGAGATAGAAAACTTTAAGTCGTACAAGGGAAGACAAATCATTGGACCGTTTCATAAATTTACTGCAATCATCGGACCTAATGGATCAGGTATGTTATGGTGGACATTTTCCTGCAGCTAACGTTAAAACAAGCTACTTGCTAGTTTTAGCAAACGGTAAAATGCAATAGCAAGATATCGAATATTCTTTCAACATATTCTGTATTCATAATTTTTTATTTATAGTAAATATTTTGCTTTTTGGGCACGCATTTCATTGCAATCCATTGATTCGTATGAACATTATTCGCCTACTTGTTTGAGTTAACAGGAGGAGCGAAGGTTTTGACATTACAATTTCCACCTAAAGATTATCATCTCTTACTCACCTTAATTCACGGTGAACTAATAATCCTGGATATGTTTTCTTTTCAGGAGGGACAACATAACAACAAATTATGCTTTTTGATTGTGTTTTATTTAGCTTATATTTAAGGAACAGCAAGCAGCAAAAACTGCACAAAAAGTCAGATATTTAGTGTATTACAGGAATTTTGTTTTCAATTGGATTAAATTGCGTAAAACGTGTTCAGCACAGTTTTGATTTTTGCTTATTTAAACCTGTATTGTGCATAAAGTATTAAAATATTTTTGCTGTTTTTGTAGGAAAATCCAACCTTATGGATGCCATCAGCTTCGTGTTGGCAGAAAAGACTAGTAACCTGCGTGTAAAGACTCTGAAGGATCTGATCCATGGAGCGCCTGTGGGGAAGCCAGCTGCCAACAGAGCCTTTGTCAGCATGGTGTACAAGGAAGATACCGGAGAGGAACGCAAATTCACAAGGGTCATTATAGGTAAGAAGCTTCCTGGAACCAGAAATGAGAAGAGATGGACATAGCTGTTGTGGGAAACAAGGGTTCTAAATCAGTCGGGTCATACGAAGGACTTAAAAAATAGGACCAAATGCCTCCCTGCTTGACACTTAGCTTTAAGCTTTAATAGTTCCTGAGCACAGCTGCAGCTCACCGCTCCCCATGCGGATGGGTCAAATATGAAGATGTAATTTCACCAGTGTGTGTGATGATGACTATGGGACTTTAACTTTAAATACTACAACATTATTGCATTTATGAGTCAGACACAACTGAACTAATCCCAGACTTTTTAAAAGCTGGATTTTATTATTAGAAATTGTGAACACTTGCAGCAATTTTCTCCAAGTTTGTCCAAGGACTTCATTTTTATTGTTTTGTCAGGGGCTTCTTCTGAGTACCGCATCAACAGTAAGGTGGTGGGCCTGCCTGAATACAGTGAGGAGTTGGAAAAACTTGGAATTCTTATCAAGGCCAGGAATTTTCTAGTTTTTCAGGTAAGACTAAATTATTAGTAAACAATTTAATATTTAGTCATGTTGTACGCACATGTTTAAGAATTAATTTGAGCTCTTGTTGCAAAGTAGATGTGACCCAAAACCTAATGTTTGCTGTGATAAATTCATTTCATGGATTATTTTTTTTTTTTTGGATAACTGTTTATGTTTCTGTTCTCCCTCTTTAAAACTTTGTGTCACTCCCAGGGAGCTGTGGAGTCTATAGCAATGAAGAACCCCAAGGAGCGCACCACCCTCTTTGAGGAGATCTCACGTTCTGGAGAGTTGGCCCAGGAGTATGACCGGAGGAAGAAGGAGATGGTGAAAGCAGAGGAAGACACACAGTTCAATTACCATCGCAAGAAGAACATTGCTGCAGAGCGCAAAGAGGCCAAGCAAGAGAAAGAAGAGGTATGTCCCAAAAATACCATTAATCCAGCTAAACACGTGCGTTGATGATCAGATTGCCTCTTCATCGATCTCTGCCAGGCCGAGCGATACCAACGCCTTAAAGACGAAGTGGCCAGGGCCAGCGTACAATTACAGCTCTTCAAGTTGTATCACAACGAAACTGAGATCGAAAAGCTGAATAAAGAGCTTGGTCAGCGGAACAAAGAAATAGACAAAGACCGTAAAAAGATGGACCACGTGGAGGAGGAGCTGAAGGACAAGAAAAAGGAGCTGGGCAGGCTGATGAGAGAGCAGCAGACTATTGAGAAAGAAATCAAGTAAGTTATTGTAAACTCATAACCTTGTTGTTTCAGGAAATACTCAAATCATAGCTGAACGTCATTCTGATTGCAGGGAGAAGGACTCCGAGTTAAACCAAAAGAGGCCTCAATACATCAAGGCCAAAGAGAATACCTCACACAAGATAAAGAAACTTGAGGCTGCACGAAAATCTCTGCAAAATGCTCAAAAGATGTACAAGAAGCGCAAAGCGGACATGGACGAGCTGGATAAGGAGATGAGGGCAGTGGAATTAGCCAAGCAAGATTTCGAGGAGAGAATGGAGGAGGAGGCGCAGAGCCAAGGCCAGGATCTGACTCTGGAGGAAAATCAGGTCTGCAGCGACGATTTAAGGCTCCTGTAGTTGTTTTCAGTAGAAAAACGTCTAATAATTTAAGTCAGTTATCAATAGAGTTAAAAGTATGCACATTTTTTGAATAAACAGAGAATGAACCGATAAATATTTTTGCATTACTTTCTCTCTTTGTGCAGGTGAAGCAGTACCATCGTCTGAAGGAGGAGGCCAGCAAACGCGCTGCCACTCTGGCGCAGGAGCTGGAGAAGTTCAACCGGGACCAGAAGGCCGACCAGGACCGTCTTGACTTGGAGGAAAGGAAGAAAGTGGAGACGGAGGTAAAAATGATGACTGTGTCATCGGGAGGCGTCGTTTACATTAGGTTCAATAAAACAAGGTTTAACTATTTCTCGTCAGGCTAAGATCAAACAGAAGATCCGTGAAATTGAGGAAAATCAGAAGCGAATTGAGAAATTAGAGGATTATATCACCACCAGCAGGTAGGTTACCGATTTTTGTATTTTTTATTTTTTGTTCTAAGCTCTTCTTTTAACTCATTGCTCCTTTGTGTTTCTCCTCTTTTGAGCTTCACTGAGACACCTTTGTTTTGTCAATGATCAGGCAGTCGCTGGACGAGCAGAAGCGTATGGAGGAGGAGCTGACGGAGGAGGTGGAGATGGCCAAGAGGAGGATTGATGAGATCAATATGGAGCTTAACCAGGTAACTCTTGTTTTCAGCGCCTTTTGCTGCTTATTTGTTTTTGTGAATGAAAATGTCAGCTCAAAAGAGCTCGCTGGCCATTTTTAATGTGATCTGTTCCTGCTGTAGGTAATGGAGCAGCTGGGCGACGCCAGAATCGACCGGCAGGAGAACAGTCGACAGCAGCGTAAGGCTGAGATTATGGAGAGTATCAAACGGCTCTATCCTGGCTCTGTGGTAAGACACCTTTTGTGCTACAGAACTTTACTTTTTTAATCCAAACAGATTTTTTTCTGTGCCTTGTGGTCAGTAATTAAAGTGTACTAATAAAGTGTATATATGAATTATAGCAGTAGAAAAAGTATTTGCCTCTCCTACTCAATGACTTCAATACATCCTGTTTGACAACATGAAGAAGGCTAAAAGATCTCAAAACCCAGGAACAACATAATACTAAATTCAAATAATCTGTAATTATTTTAAGTAAAAAAAATGCTTTTTTCCTTGTGTATTTTTGCTCAAACAAAACATATGCTGAGAAAAAGTGTGGAAAAAATAAAATGGATGAACATTTTCCATTGCGAGTGCTTCCTTTTCTCCTGATAATAACATAAACACAATGAGCCCCTAAAGCTGTAGTAGCATGAAACAAAAGCAAGGAGGACAGAAAGTAAAGACAATACACAAAAAGGGCATTATCATTCGTCAAAGACCTCTTGTAAGTGTGCTCCTTACGTGGTTTCTTGGTCGTGACATTGACTATGTTGCTCAGTGGACCCACTCCGGCACTGTTATAGGCCCGTAGGGACACGTAATAGGTACTGCTGCCCTCCAGATCCCTGATGAGGACGGATGTTTTATTCCCCACTGTTCTGATCACACTGGCTGCATCCTGTTTATCCTTTTCTCTCCAGTACCGCAACTAAAAATAACAAAAACACAAGTTCCATTTCACCACACCTGTTTCTTTTTTTTCACTATTTAAATCATCATAATGTACTAAAATTCATTTAAAATATTATCCAAAAACCACCAGCCTAAAATGATGTTAAATATATCATATTATAAATATATGTTAAAGTAACTAATGTGTTATGCTACATAGACTCATTTTGAATTGATGCCCGTGTCTCCTCTGTTTCCAGTACGGCCGTCTGATCGACTTGTGTCAGCCCACGCAGAAAAAGTATCAGATTGCTGTTACCAAAGTGTTGGGCAAGAACATGGACGCCATCATTGTTGATTCAGAGAAAACTGGCAGAGACTGTATCCAGTACATCAAGGAGCAGAGAGGAGAGCCCGAGACCTTCCTTCCTCTCGACTACCTCGAGGTGATTATCACAACATGCTCCACTAATGGAGAGTAATTTAATTGCATGAAAGAATAATGAAATACCTCTAGAATGAAGAATATATACCTTCTAATTATTCAGACCTGTGAGCTTCTTCACTGATGGCACCTCCCAGGTAAATAAAGTCCGTTTAAAATTAAAAGTTTTTTTTTCTCTGAAAGGTAAAACCAACCGATGAAAAACTGAGAGAACTGCGAGGAGCCAAACTGGTGATTGATGTGATCCGCTACGAGCCTCCTCACATCAAGAAAGCCCTGCAGTACGCTTGTGGCAACGCTTTGGTTTGTGAGAACGTGGAGGATGCCCGAAGGATCGCTTTTGGAGGGCCGTACAGGCACAAGGTACTTCGCTTTATTTGGGAAGATGATGTTTAAATTGGACGTGTCCGTTTTTGTTGATTTGTGGTCTGACGAACATTTCGTCATCCGTCCTCTCCAGACCGTCGCCCTGGATGGGACTTTGTTCCAGAAGTCTGGAGTCATCTCTGGAGGAGCCAGCGACCTGAAAGCCAAGGCCAGACGCTGGGATGAGAAGGCAGTGGACAAACTCAAGGAGAAAAAGGAAAAACTTACAGATGAGCTCAAGGTACATTTTTAATTGCAGTATATGCCGAACATCCCCATGGCAACGGAACTTCAAATCATTATAAGCTTATTGTCACTAACTTTAGTTTTTGTTTTAGTACAGTTGTGTAACACACTCCTCTCTCTTGTAGGAGCAAATGAAGGCAAAGAGGAAGGAGGCGGAGCTGCGTCAGGTCCAGTCTCAGGCTCACGGTCTGCAGATGAGACTCAAGTACTCTCAGAGTGATCTGGAACAGACCAAAACCAGACACCTGTCCCTGAACATGCAGGCACGTCCTGGTGTTTTGATTCATTTTTGTTATCCGTTATAAATAAATAACAACCTCTGTAAAGGTTGTCGTGTTTGTGTCATACAGGAGAAGTCTAAACTGGAGAGTGAACTCGCCAATTTTGGTCCTCGCATCAATGACATCAAACGGATCATCCAGTCCCGTGAGCGAGAAATCACAGACCTCCGGGACCGCATGAACCTGGTGAGGCTGATGCCAAAGCCTGGCTCATTTAGGAACTCATTTCAGCGTTAAAATCTTTGTTTTTGGTTTCCAGGTGGAGGATGAGGTGTTTGTGGAGTTCTGTAAGGAGATTGGAGTGAGGAACATCCGAGAGTTCGAGGAGGAGAAGGTCAAGAGGCAGAATGAGATCGCAAAGAAGCGGTCAGTTTAGTAATCAGTCCAAAAGTTTTAGTTTGTTTGTTTTCTCTTTGTTTTGTAACCTGGTTACATTTGATTTCAGTCTCGAGTTTGAGACCCAGAAGACCCGCCTGGGAATCCAGGTGGACTATGAGAAGAACCAGCTGAAGGAGGATCAGGAGAAGGTCATGATGTGGGAGCAAACGGTTAAGAAAGATGAAGCTGAAATCGAGCGACTCAAGAAGGTTAAACAAAAAACAAAACTCATGTAAATGCTTAATGTTTCATGCATTTTTAGAATTAAAGATCAAATTTGTCATCATTTAATACTTAGGAGGAGCACAGGCACATGAAAATCATCGATGAGACCATGGCCCAGCTGCAGGACCTGAAGAACCAGCACCTGACTAAAAAGTCTGAAGTTAATGACAAAAACCATGAAATGGAGGAGATCCGCAAAAAACTGGGAGGAGCCAACAAGTGGGTGGCTACCGAAGCATAAATTCAGTTCATCATTTCAGGTTTCAGTAGAAAAGTTACATTTATTTGTGTTTATTGTAGAGAGCTGACCCAGCTCCAGAAGGAGGTGACCGCCATTGAGACCAAACTGGAACAAAAGCGAAGCGATCGCCACAACCTGCTGCAGGCCTGCAAGATGCAGGACATCAGGTTGCCACTTCACTCCGGAACAATGGACGATATCAGCCAGGGAGAGGTGTGTAAACAGTCATGATGTCATATTTATTTGAAATTGGGGCTGCACAATATATCGTTATCGCGATATCAGCATGCACAATATGCATATCGCAAAGAACAGATAAATATTGCAATGAATGGTCAGCTCAAATGTTTGCTAAACATAATGCATTCTGTCAATCAAACGGAAGCATGATGTTTTTTTAACAAATCAAATAGAGCTCTTCACCCATTTGGCCAATTGGGTGGGTTCTCTTAGGTTAGAGTCCCGTCCTTGAGGCGGACGGCACTTAATTTTGATGGTTAGCAAACACCTGAGTTAGCTTTGTTCTGCTCTTTTTGCTGATTCTGCTTTTCCTGGGATCCACAGATCGCCTTTTCTTGTTCATTTTCCCTTTCCTCACATCTTTTGCTTTTCTCATTTTTATGATTTTTTTTATTTCTTTATTTTTGATTATTTTTGTTCCTGAGTTAAGTTTTTTATTTATCGCAAGTAATATCGTCATCGCAATATTAATCGCTGTTATGGAATATCGCAGGTTTTCCTTATATCGTGCAGCCCTGTTTGAAAACCAAACATCATCGCAATATTAATCGCTGTTATGGAATATCGCAGGTTTTCCTTATATCGTGCAGCCCTGTTTGAAAACCAAACAGAAAACAGCACATTGTTTGTGCTGCTGTTTTAGGGGAGCTCTCAGAACGACGAGTCCAGCAGTCAGAGGACATCCAGCAGCGTCCTGGCTAAAGAAGCTCTGATAGAGATCGACTACAGCAACCTGTCTGAGGACCTGAAGGTAGACGGTCTAAGCAACACTTGTTGGTTTTTTTAAAAGCTAAAGCTAGAGAGTTAGCTTTCTGGGTATGAGGTTTCTGGCAGTAATATAAACATCACGCCACTTTAGTCTGAAATGGGCTTTGAGTCTGGTTTGTTAAATGCATGAAGATGAACTGATTTTCTACAGGACGCGTTGTCCGAGGAGGAGATCAAAGCCGAGACAAACACACTGCAACAGCGTCTGAATGAGCAGCAGAGCATCCTACAGAGGATCAGTGCGCCCAACATGAAAGCTATGGAGAAGCTGGAGAGCGTCAGGGACAAGTTCCAAGAAACCAGCGATGGTTAGAATTACGGTGGAGGCTGGGGTTGAATGATCAGGATTCTTGAAGCTTCTATTTAACTCGTGGTTTGATTTTCTTTTATTTAAGAGTTTGAAGCGGCTCGTAAGAGGGCCAAGAAGGCCAAGCAGGCCTTTGAGCAGATCAAGAAGGAGAGGTTTGATCGTTTTAATAACTGTTTCGAGTCTGTGGCCACCAACATCGATGAGATCTACAAGTCGCTCTCACGCAACAGCAGTGCTCAGGTAAAGAATACAGAGATTATGTTCTCTCAGTTCTGTGCACTAGGCGTGTATTTAATAGTGGTGGGAATCACGGGGATACCATGTGGCTGAAGCAGCAGCTGATATTAAACAACTTCTTTTGACACGTTCAGCTGCTTCTTTCCTGCATTGTTGCAACAGAAGGAAGTAGGTAAATGTTTAAAACAGTGTTATTCCTTTTTAGGCTTTTCTAGGCCCAGAAAACCCAGAAGAACCCTATTTAGACGGCATCAACTATAACTGTGTGGCTCCAGGAAAGAGGTTCCGACCGATGGATAACCTGTCAGGAGGAGAAAAGACCGTCGCCGCCCTGGCTCTGCTTTTTGCTATCCACAGGTGATTTGATGCTTATTTGGGCAACTTTTGCAGATTTCTGCTTCTTTCCGTCCATTTTAACACCTCCTCTGCATCTCTGTAGCTACAAACCCGCTCCGTTCTTTGTTCTGGATGAGATCGATGCTGCCCTGGACAACACTAACATTGGAAAGGTCTGTTTGGGTTTTTATTTGGTGGGTTATTTATGTTTTTTTCCAGTTACTTTTTTCTTTGCATTGATTACTAACATTTGTTCTTTTTCTTAAGGTGGCGAATTACATCAAAGACCAGTCGGTGCAGAACTTCCAGGCCATCGTTATTTCTCTGAAGGAGGAATTCTACACCAAGGCGGACTCGCTCATAGGCGTTTATCCAGAGGTGAGTTTCTCTCTTTGGAACTTTGAAACATCATATAAACTCATACAGAGACCGCAAAGGTTAGACGTTTAGTTATTAACCTCAATTATTAATCTTATTTAATGAAACCAAACCTAAGTTTGTTTTCAGAATCCTAACAATAATTAAATACCATTAAAAAAAATTTTTTAGCATTTAATTGAATATTCCATCACTGATTTTTGTCACCTTCATCCACAGCAAGGAGATTGTGTCATCAGCAAAGTGATGACCTTTGACCTCTCGCAGTATCCAGACGCCAGCTCGAACCCAAATGAATGAAATCCTTTTCTCCATCATTTGGTTGAGTTTCCTGAACTCTAGTCACGATTATGTATTCATTAGGTCTTTTTTAATCTGCTGTTTTTATTATGTTCTTTTTTTATGACCACTTGATAATTAGGAAGATATTGTTTGTAGACGGTAACGACACACATGTACATTTAAACGGCCTTTTCCCAATAATGCTTCTCTACAATGAATCAAAGTGGATCCTAAACGAGTGAAAATCTAAACTTTTTGACAAACTTATTTGTAGTGGAAAATGTATTTCAAGTGGAAAATGTGATGAAATTGAAAGAATGCAAGCTGTTTTCAGATTTGTTTTTTAAAATATTTTTTATGATTCTTTATTTTACTTTGTGTGCTTCAAAGTCCTCTGGTGTGTTTACGTAAATGCATTGCATCACATATGTGCTCTTTTTCCTCTTTTATATTTGTTGTCCCAGTGTGTTGGGTACATTCCTTTGTGTGTTAAAGTTAAACTAAATAAAACCGAATTAGCTGCAGCTGGCCCTACTGTAATGGGAAGCTTGTTGCAACCTGCTTAAAAACCAGTGATTTCAAACACAGCAATGGAGACTAAATTTGTGTTATTCTGAAATGGCAAATTCAGCTCCAAGATAATTATGTGTAGACAGTTTTGATTGCTTTGCTCCAATAAATAATCAATTTATTTATGCTTCTTTATTGAAGTTTAATGCAGTTTTTGTCTTGTATGAAGTACAGTTTGAATTTGTTTTAACTTGCAGATGCGTCACTGCCTTAGATTTCACTCCATAAGAAGTCTCAGCTTTCCTGGGTGTTGCTATTAATAGTCTGCTTTAACGTCGTCCTCTGCAGAGTAGCAGTCTTTCTGCACTAAATCTGTTTCCACTAGTGGCACGCAAATAATTTGTGGCAAAAATAACTAATACAGACAAAAAGAAAAGTTTATTTTCTTTGACAGGGGTGAAAATACATAATTAACATCGACCTTAAAGGTACAGAAGTAAAGGACAGATAAGGTGGGGGATGCACTCAAACTACCGATATCTTCGTAGAACAAAGGGAGGTCAGAAGCCACAAAGTAAAAAAACTAAAAAAGGCCTGCTGGGATCTTGGCACAAAATGTGAAACAAGTGCAAAATAAGATCAGCCTTGGTTAGTTTCCAAGCTAAACTCAGCCATACTCCAGGTATGCCGAAAAATCATGTTAATTAAATCTAGCAAATCATTTATTGTTGATCTGTGCTTTGTTTAATAGGTTACATAATATTTACTATAAAAACCCTCCTTTCAACTGGAAATAACGGTTTTAGTCAGAGAAGATGTGGTAAACCTTAGCAACAACAAATAAAATCCTTTTCTGCTTTGGAAGCATCGTGTTACCTATCAGGACTGTCGGATCCAAAGCAACGTTTATCTGCAGAGTGGAGTCGTTTCCCACGGCCTTCAGTAAACTGCAGCTCGATAAAGACCGCTGCCTGCCTCAGTGAGGCTACGTTTGACACTCGGCTGTCCCCTAAGTGGAATGGATGTCCTCAATAAATGCTACAAAGAAAGAAGTGTCAGTTTACTTTGATAGAAGTTCAAAGTTTTATTAGTTCAGAAAATCTGAGCGGTGTTTTATCAGATATTTAGTTTCTCCTTTGGTTTCATCCACTTTTGACTAACTCAATAAGCCCTGATCCCTTCTGCATGTTGACCTTCAGTCAGACTAACAGATACAGATCATCAAAGGGGCAACATGTGACTGGAGAGGGAGCCTCTCGGTGTCAAAATTCACATTAACCACATAATCTCAGATAATCTCTAAACTTCAGAGTCATCTATTTTGTTTCGGCTAGGAATCACGGGAATTGGGCGTCTCTTTTTCCGAACAGCCGGCTCTGGCTGGCTGGTTTCTTGAACGGCAGCATGGACAAAGGAGGGGACGGGGACAGCGCGTCTCTTTTTGACAGAGGGGATGCTGCTGCTCATGCTGCGGGAGCGCTCGTTGAGGATGCCTCTTGCCATTCCCTCCATGTCGTTGACGGGCATGCCCATCGCGTCGGCCATCTCCTTCTTACTGACACAGACAAAGTCTGGGTCTCTGGCCAAAGTGACCAGACCTCCTCTTTCAAGAGCCTGAGGAAAATAACAAGTTGAGTTACTTAAAGATGCATTTTTATGCTGTAGTTTTTACAATCTTAATCTGAAAACCTATGGAAGCCCATTCCCACCACTCAGATTTAAAAAAAAATCATAATTATAGATAATTAGTTCCTAATTATAAGATAGTATTTGATAGTTATGAGATCTTTTTTTATCCGAGTGGCGGGAATGTGCTTCCACAGAAGTCACACCCTCCTAAAATGTTATAATTTGATGACATTGTTCCATCCCTGACTTGCCTCTTGGACCAGCTGGTCTGCTGCGGTCTGACTCTGACCTTCAGGATCATAGGGGTACTGCAAAGAGACGTGATGATGCTTAACATGTGTACTAAATCCACAGTCATCTAAACCAGAGGAAACCTTACTTGTGTTCTGTCCGTTCTCACAGTAAAGCTCCAGGGGTGACTGATGTCTAGTGAAAAATAAAAGTATTTGACAGATTTTATCCAAACAAGGCAAACATAACTTCACTATACTTTAGCTGCTGTAAATGACATTAATTTAAAGTTTAGATGTGTCCTTTGAGGTACCTTACCTGGCTCTGGGTCCTCGTAAGGATTATAGAACTCCTCTGGACTGCCTTCTCTTTCAAAAGATAATCTAAAAGCAAGCAAACATGATCAGATACAACATAAGCACACATCGTGTGTGTGCGTGCGTGCGTGTGTGTGTGTTGTGGAACTCACTCTGCAAAGGCGTTGTTGTTAGTGTTGCTCTTGGGAGCAGTTGTGAGAAAAAAGTCTGCACTGGGCATCAACACTGAGGAGTTGGGTGGAGACTCAGACTGGCTTTCGGAGAACTGGAGGGGTCTCTGGTGGGTCACCTGGGATTGCTGAGCGTTGGCAGGCTCAGAGGAGAAGGAGTCCACTCGATTTCCAAAAAGATTGTGTGAACGCTGGAAAAACCAAGATCCAAAGGCCCAAGTTTTAGTCAAGAAACCTAAACTTACAACTACTTTTTTGAATGTGAACATGGTGGTTCGTGCATGACAGCGGGACTCGTTGAGGGAATAAGCTTCAGACCTGGTAAATGCCTTCTTCTCCAGCCTCCTCCATTGCTCGGTCCATTTCTTCTTCATTTTGAAGGTCACCTGAAATTGCTCTGTGCATCTCTGGAGCAGCTTCTTCCTCTATACTCCTCAAACCTGCCTAAAAACGTAAAAAACGCAGAAAAATGAGGCACTTCAAACACAAAGTTGTTCATACAGATGTTATGTAGCATTCAGTTCACCTGGATCTCCGGTCCCGAGGCGCTCTTCTTGGATGGACGGTACCCATAGTACTCCTCCTGACGCTTCATGAACTTACGGAAATGCTCTTGGAGCAGAAAGGTGGCGTAGAATTTCCCCACGGTTACCTCGTCATCTGTGAGTCAATGGGAACTTTAGTGAGAGTTGATGAATTTTTTGTTAAAAGTGAAACCTGATTATTTCCACAGACTCGCCTCCTATAGGTGGGATGACCTGATCCAACAGCTTCATACTGGTGCGTTTCCAGATTTTCTTTATAATGGCTCTCAGCTCCTCGTTGGCCTGCTCAAAGTTTCCTGTATTGAACATTTCCAGTTAATTTGGTCTAAATTCAAACAGGTGAAAGAGAAGGAACAGTGTTTATTGTTATACCCTCAGTTTTGATTTTGAGCGCGGTCCTGACCAGAGCGAACAGGGTGGCGTTGAAGGTGACGGTGCCGTCGCTGTTGAGAGGCATGTTCATGCCAACCAGCCGCTGCAGACAGAAGGAACAGAGCAGACTTCCTCTTTGTGTCTTTGAGGAGGAAACAAAAACAAAAGTGCATTTCTATTGTTGTGTTTACCTGGCACGCAGCACGGTGAGGACAGAACTTGCCAAAGCCCAGTGGGGGTTGGATACGACGCAGCAGCGTCACCACATCCAAATGCTTGATTCTCCCCCTACAGATCAGAGACACTCGTTATAATCCTGTTTTCAAAGTGAAAACTGAAATGACAGAAGCTGTAGTGTTCACACACGTGGCTTCAGGGTCGTATTCAGCCCAGATTTTCTTAAACTCGTCCAGATGGTGTGGACCAAGAAGGGACCAGTCACGGGTCAGGTAGTCAAAGTTATCCATGATGACAGCTACGAACAGGTTCAGGATCTGGGGCGAGTCAGAAAAACACGTAAATATTCTTACTTTAACTTTTTGGGCAGATCAAGTTTTGTGATATTGGATCATCTGTGATCAAAGCATCTAACCAGGAAGGCACACAGACAGTAGAAGCTGAGGAAGTAGAAAACAGCAAAGTTGGACCCGCAGGTGTACTCCTCTCCCGGCAGGAAGTCAGACTTGGGGTCACACTTCTTCCCGTACATTGATGCCATCATGACCTCCTGCCAAGCCTCTCCTGTAGCACATCTGGACACAAAGTTAGAATCCCTGTTCAGTTTTTAAACTTGTGACGTCCATCTTGTTTCCTCCACATCCTAGCAAGCAGACTCACCGGAATAACATCAGAACAGCCTGAGGGAATGTCTGGAAGTTGTTGTTGCGATTGATTTGGGTGCCGTCCACTAAGGCTACCTTGCCAAAGATCTGAGCATATCAAGTCAAATAATTGTCTTGGTTACGTATAGATTAGCTTGCTTTAGTGACATTACTCAGACACATAATGAGTCCGCAGAGGTTTAAAGTTTGGTTTTGGTGGCTTTTACCTGCATCCCAATGACAGCATAGATGAAGAAGAGCATAACAATGAGCAGAGCTACATGAGGGAGAGCCTGCAGGGAGAAAGCAGTTTGATCAGAAGCACAGTGGAGATCAGAGGTCAAAACCACAAAGCCATGGTGATGATGAAAACCTGGAAAGACTTGATGAAAGTCCACAGCAGGTTCCGGATCCCCTCCGATCGATTCAGCAGTTTGACCAGACGCATGACACGGAAGAGTCGGAAGAATGTGATGGACACGGATGCATTTTCAGAGGCCTGTGGATGAAACAATAAGAGTTGCTCACGCGAAGGAAAAGACTCAACACAAAGGAAGATTTCCTTAAAATCCAACAGATCGTGACTTACCGCGATTTCTTGCATAGGGTTTGTCTCCTGCACACAGATGAAGTGGCATATGCATTATTTATTTCTGATGAACCGAACACACCAAGCCCTTTTTTTGAAGCCTCTTTAGGATTTCAAAAAAAGTTAAACACCAGAGTTATTTATTCCCCTACTTGTCTGATGTGCTGAACAGCTAAACCGTTTAACCCATGCAAATTAAACTTCAACGCAGTTTGCTGCAAAAATCCTACTAGTTTCCTATCAAGCCATTACCTTAAGTTTAAATACAGACAGTGTTGACATGTAGCCCTGTTTATGCAATGGTAAAAGCCGAGGTCTATCTCAGACAGTGGTAACATGACTGTTTTATGAGCCGTTTGGGGCCGATTCACCGAGTAAATGGAGAGTAGTAGTTTAATAAGTGCTCACACAGCAAGGCTCATGCAGCGGTGCAGATATTTACAGCACAGCCATGGAGACAGTACAGCCCTCCACTGGATTCCAGCGCAGTCTGTGGAGGATAGACAGATGAAGGAGTGAGACACGTGGAGGACAGAGGAGCTGATGGGGGAAGTGGAGAAATACAGAAAGCAGGTTTGGATTGGAGAAATCGTGGCAAGTTTGTGGATGAAACGATGAGGACAATGGCGACGATGATAAGATGGTGTTTGTGTAGCATAAATAAAAGTGAATCTGTGACTGTTCTTTCTATGTGCTCACACAACACAGATAAGATACATTTTAGTGATGCGCCTTTCTGATGGACGCTGGGGAGGGTTGACCCCCGTTTCTCCTGGCACCAATCAGAGGTGGTGCTTCAAATCTAAGCTTTTGGCTCAGATTGGTGAATACATTCAGGCTTGCCTCATTTGACCAGCATAAACTGACAGCACCTGCAATGAGAATCTAAAACATGTGTGATTCTTCAGATTAAGATAAACATCACGCGCACTCACGTCGACTTCACTGAGGATGACGTCGACGACGCTGCCAATGACGATGATGAAGTCAAAGACGTTCCAGGGGTCTCCAAAGTAGCCCTGCGAGATCAGATGAATCCTGCTCACCCATGCAGGAATACGACTTCATGTGTAACAATGAGGACAACAAAGATTTGGGTATTTACCCTAACTTTGAAGGCCATGAGTTTTAGTATCATCTCCACGGTGAAGAGCACGGTGAAGATCAAGTTCAGTGTGTCTGATAGCTTGGTGACATGGTCTGACTGGTTGCAGTGCTGTTCAGAGTGGAAAGAAAATCATTATATATGATATATATTAGAGATTAAGTGGTTTACTCCTTTAATCAATACATTTGCAGTGATCTCTAGGAATGAATGCCTTGAAAGTCGTTCCCAGAGGGAAGTATGCCGTTGCACCATTTCTCGGACCTAAAAGATACCCACATCACAGCTGAGCTTCAGACGGCAGGTTTTAAAGTCTTATTCCTGATATTTGATAATCTTGCCCTGAATTAGATAACAGCATCACCATCGACTTGCAACGTGAATGTTTTATCTCCACAAATAACACAAGCCAGCTGGAGCTTGTGCCATGTGGTGAAGTTGCTAATGCTAACGGTTAGCTTATTCCCGGTGGTCTGAATATCTGTGCTTCCTCATCAAATTTTCCCACCGCAGCGTGTTACGCCAGTTTTGCTCTTGCTTACAGTATATTAACATGCGTATTAAGCACAGTTGATTTTAAAATGGGTGACATTACACAAAAATACAGAACTGTAGTATAATTATTAGCTAAAATATAGTGTTTGTCATGATTCTGTGGTTGACGGTAAACAACGGGAGAAATGTCTTGTTTATAGTAAAATAACGATATTTTACAATCCATTTACAAGCTGTCAGGTAAACATACAACAAGCAACAACTTCCAGAGGTAGCACGTCTCTTCACAGCCTGTGACGTAGTAACCGGTCTGCGCATTTTCCCACAGTAGCACATATCGACGAGAAGCACGGATAGTTGAAACACCGGACATTAAAACAGCAACAGCCTTCCTCGTTGTGAGTCAAGATCAGTGAATCCATGAATGCTAATTTACAGAGTGACATAGATCTGTGAGGAGTTTCAAATCCTAGCTTTTCAACTTCTATTTTCTAAGCTAATGCAGGAGATAGGTTTACGAGACTATTTTCATGTTCAGCCTGCATGAAGAACTCAGAATGACTGATTATAATCATAAAAAACATTAAAATGTAGTTTTTCAGTCAACCACACATTTAAAAATGACAGTCCTTGTTGTTTTAGTCTACCACCTGGTGCTTCATTACATACCTGCATCCCCAGACACAAGGTGTTCAACATAATCAAGAAGAACATCAGGTACTCAAAGTAGCAGGAGGTGACGATGTACCACACCCTGTATTGGGATGGGTTTTTGGGGATGTAGCACCTCAGCGGGCGAGCCTTCAGAGCATACTGCACACACTGACGCTGTGATGCGGGAGAAAACAGCAAGTGCACGTTAAAATTAAAATAAAAATGGTTTTGGAGATTTGTTAACAATCGTAGTTCCAGCTCAGGCTCATACCTGGTTCTTGTCCAGCTCACAGTTCTTATACTCCTGCTCACCCTGCTCCTGAAAGGTGACGATGACGAACCCCACAAAGATGTTCATCATAAAGAAGGCGATGAGGATGATGTAGATGATGAAGAAGATGGACACATCCACACGGTTGTTGTAGACAGGACCTAGATCTTCTTCTGCTGAATCTATGGCCCTGTATAAAAGTCTGAAAATAAGTCAGAGATAAAATAAAGTTAATTTATGCAAAGTGAAAACAACTCAATAACCTTTGAACCAGCTGATTATTGTATGAAGGGTGTTTCTTTAGTTTACTTTGGCCAGCCCTCAAACGTGGACACCGTAAACAGAGCCAACATCCCATTGAGAACGTTGTCAAAGTTGAAGTCACTGTTGAGCCACTCTCTTTTAGCCAACACGGTGTCCTGCAGCGAGTTATCCACGTGCTTCATGAAGTATCCTCTGAAACATGCAAAAACAGTTTGAGTTACTCTGAAACAGAGCTGCAGGTCTGATGTATGAAGTCTCTGATGCGTGAGGAACGTTCTGTCTTACTGGCAATCCTCTGCCGTCACTTTGGTCAGATCCGTGCAGCTGTAGAATTTTCCCTGGTGGGTGAGGGATTAGACATCAGTTTAACATACAAGCACCTATACTTTGTGATCAGTTTACAACATTTACACCAAGTAAACAATCCTACCTTAAATAGCTGCACTCCAATGCAGGCAAACATGAAATTTAACAGCATGGTGACCAGGACAATGTTGCCAATGGTTTTGATGGCCACAAACACACACTGGACCACGTGCTGTTAGGAAAAGATGTGAAGTAAGTTAGTGAGAGGATTTTATTTAGTTATGCTAACGGAGTATAATTTTAAGTGCTGTTTAGCTGTCTACCTTTACAAGGACTTGCTCTTTGTACTCAGTTGAGGTGAAATGGAAAACCAGAGCTGATAATGTCTTTAAAACACTCCCACTGACTCAGCAGTATATGTACTGCCTTGTATAGATCACCATTACAGGTGTTAATGCTAACAGCTGTACATATAGCCCTAACCCTAACCTGAACCCAATAACAGCCAAACATTATGATTTTTTCTTGTGTATAACTATCCTATGGACATTTTTACCCTTATTTGTATTTGTAATTGTATCCTTGCTATAAAGAGTTTAAATTTTCTGTCTTTTTTTGGGTGAAGGGTTATTAAAGGTCTAATTGATTACTTCCAATCGAACAAAACCATTTGATTGAATGCAGGTGTTGTACCTTCAGCCCTTTGGCTCTGTTGATGGCTCTGAGAGGCCTCAGCACCCTCAACACCCTGAGAATCTTCACCACAGAGATGGCACTGGATCTGCAAGACCACACATCGTTTTCTCAGAAATAAATATATTTTTTATAGTTTGATGAGAACAAATAGACATGACATTCTGTAAATGATTTGGTCTAGAAAGTAAGCTCACTCCATTCCCATGGACAGGAGCGACACGCCGACTACAATCAGGTCCAGGATGTTGAAGGAGTTACGACAGAATGAACCTTTATGCATGAATGCTCCGTACACCGTCATCTGTCAGGGATGAATAGTGTTAGCTCATAACAAAAATACAGTCATAAGAATTGTTTTGTTGGTAAAAATAAGCGGTTTCAATCTACCTTCAGCACAATCTCAATGGTGAACACGGTTGTGAAGACAATGTCAGCATATGCCAAAATCTGAGAAAAGAATGAGAAAGAGGGCATAAAAATCACAGCTGTTAGGTTTTGACTACTTTACACCCAAAACCGGATGTCACCTGGTTTCTGTAGGATTTGGGGTCGATGGGATCCTCAGCTGCCAGAGAGATGGAGGAGAGCAGGATGAAGAGGAGGATCAGGTTGGTGAAGGAGGAAGCGTTGATGATCTTGTAACACAGTTTACGAAATCTGCAAAGATGAGGTAAATATGAACGCATGGGAAGACTTTTAAACGACAGATGTTTATTACATGTTTTATCACTTTATGGCATGAGATGATGATCAGATTCCTACTTGTTCTGAGGGCCGAAGATGAAAAAGGAGCTGGCTTCAGGCAGAGGAACAGCTTCTTCCTTCAGCTGCAGGTCTGCCATGGGTCGAGGTCGAGGGCTAATGGGGATCTCAGGCTCTTCCTCTTCATCATCACCTAGGATGCAAAAAGTAGTCTATTTCTGTAACAGCTAAAGCGCTAGCGTGTTTGACTTTAATAAAAAAAATAAATACAAGTTAGAACTTTTTTTACCAGGAAAATCAGCAGGAGGAAATGGATCTTTCACTTCATTGACATTAGACTCAAATTCATCAATTTTAAGCTAGAGTAAAAAAAACAAAACAGGTATTAAATATAATTTTGCTCTTTAACGAGTAACTCTGACACCAGAATCAGCACCAACCTTGGCTGTGGTGGGCATGCCCTCCATCTTGGCCCGCTGCTCAGCCAGTTTCTTAGCGATCCTCTCTCTCTCCTCATCCGTCTTCTCAGGCATTTTGGACCTTTACATTAAAACAACATTAAACTGAATGTAGCACACGGACAGATCAGATACTTTCACGTCTATCAAAAGTGTCCTAACGCTCACCTCAGCAGTTTCTTCCTGATCTTCTCCTCTGCCTTTTCTTTCTGAGCTGAGGTCAGACTCTCAGCCTCTGCCAAGTTGTCCACGGCGATGGCCAAGAAGACATTTAAGAGGATATCTGGTTGCACTGAGCTCAGGAAAACAAAAGTCCCACTCCTCATTCCCAAAGAACTAGGCTGTCATTTGTGAAGGATACAGTTTCCACAGACAAAAAGGATGATGAAGTAGATAGCAACCAGGATTCCAGGGATGACGGGCCCTCCGTAGGCCATGATGCCATTATACATGATGTTAGTCCACTCCTCTCCTGTGAGGATCTGAGATATGTATGATTAAAAGTTAAATGGGTGTTATTTATGTCAAATTTGCTCTTGTTGACCGTTTAAAAGAACATTGGGTGTACAGCCTCACCTGAAAGACGCTGATCAGAGCTTGAGGGAAGTTGTCAAAGTTACTGCGACGGGGCCTATGGTAGTCAAAGTTAAATTTGCCCCCAAACACCTGCATTCCCAGGAGAGAGAAGATTACAATGAAGAGAAAGAGGAGGAGGAGGAGCGAGGCGATGGAGCGAACAGAGTTCAGGAGAGAGGCTACGAGGTTGCTCAGAGAGGTCCAGTACCTAAAAACACAAAACGGATTTGAAACGATAACACATTTGACCATGATGGTTTAGAGTGATGTAACAGACCGTCTGAAGGGATTAGGTTTACTTTGTGACTTTGAGGATCCGCAGCAGACGGATGCACCTGAGCACAGAGAAACCCAGGGGAGCCACGGAACCTGCCGACAACATGATCATCTCCAGGATGCCACAGAGGACCACGAAGAAGTCAAAACGGTTAAATAGTGACATGAAATACGCTCTGGGGCCCAGGGCGTACATCTTCACGAACATTTCGATGACAAACAGCACCAGCAGCACGCGGCTAGCTGCATCTGTTTGCAAGACAAACAAAAGAGAAATACTTTGATTTGAAATCCAGAAATTGTTTTCTTTCTGGGGAAAACGTATCCATGAATTACTCACCTTGCAGGCTGGTCAGTGTGACCGGCTGGTGGTGGTACTCTGTAGCTATGGTGAGAGTGTTGAGGAAGACGAGGAACATCACCACCCAGTAAAAGCTCTTGGTTTTCACATAAACCAAACACTTCATCCTGAAGAAACGATTCCAGCGACGGGCCAGACGGCTAAACACAAAAAACAAGTCTTCCCACAGTGCCGAGACGTGATGGATACTGCATTAATACAGCAGAAGAGGAGACTCACTAGTAGTATATTATACGACTTTTGCCTTCCAGGTCGTACAGGCTGTCTGTGTCCGAATCTCCACTGGTCAGAGGCAGGAGACCTGATGAAATAACCAGAATTTAATTCAGTCTACCCACATAGATGAAGAGTAGGTTAGATCTGACCTTTGCCTTCTCTGTCAGCATCCAGCACTTCGGCGTGGGTGATCCAGTCCATGTAACCATGGACGTCTTCATCTAGCTGCTGACGCTCTCGCAGCTTCTGAAACTCCCCTCGTGATCTGGCCTTCTCTCGCTCTTTGGTGAACTCTCTGTGTGGAAACAAAAGCGTGGTTATTTTGTTTATCTGAGGTAACAAACACACAGAGAGGAGGACTGCTGTCTTACCCACTGAGCACACCCAGAACAAGATTGAGCACAAAGAAGGAGCCCAGCAGAATGAGAGGGACAAAATAGAGCCACGGCCACTCGTTTCCTATGGCGTCATTAACCTGCAACCAACAACTCAAGGCAATGAGTCAGAAACCACATTTAAATGATCATCTAAACTGAAAACATGCAGATATCTCTGACCCAGTAGAGCACTTTGGTCCACCCCTCCATGGTGATGCACTGGTACACAGTCAGCATAGCAAAACCAATGTTATCAAAATGAGTGATCCCGTTGTTGGGGCCCTCCCAACCCGGCCGACACTCAGAACCATTGATCATGCAGCGGCGACCATTCCCGGCCTGAGCACACGGCGCTGGTAGCTCAGCTTCTGCTGCTGCATAAATATCTGTTGGTGAAGGAACACAGGGAAATGTAAAGCAACCTGAGCCAACACTTGAGTGCAAATATGTTTGACCGTGTCCTCTAATAAATACTTGTGCCAGTGTAGTAGCAGGTCTTGTGCATTTTGCATTTAAAGAGTTCCAGTCCCATGATGGCGTAGATGGTGACCAGAAGGAAGACCAGCAGGGCGATGTGCAGCAGTGGCAGCATGGCTTTGAGGATGGAGTTCATCACCACCTGCAAGCCTGACAGGAAACAGTGACAACAGATGTCCTAATGGAATCTGTCTGCAGCTGGGTTTGTGTGGATTAAACCATGGCTCTTACTGGGAACTCCAGAAACAAGACGGAGAGGCCGTAGGACTCTGAAAGCTCTCAGGGCCTTCATGTCGAAGCCCCCGCCCTTCTCGACGGGTACTCCTGAAATATTATTTATGGTATCCAAAGCAAAGGTGAAGAGACTGTAGGGGGAAACAAATGCAAAGCCAGTAAACAAAACAATCACTTCAAGGTTGATCTAAAGAACCTTACTAAATTTGAAGGAACCCTTTGAAAGTGACAGTGTGTATTTTCTCTGGCAATAAGGACAGTAGATACCTAAATCATTGCAAGCAAGTGTTATTTTGGTGTTCAAGTAAGATTTTACCAACGGATGCCCGCTAGGGTCAAAAATCATTGGAAGTGCAACCCCCAGCAAAATAACAAGAACATAAGATGCCCTTTCACCACTGGCAGTGAGTGAAGAGGTAAATGTGTAAAAAAACTACATTTATTAATGGTGAAAGTTATGTAACCATTTGTTACAAATCAGTAAATGCATTTTGTCTTCACTGGCTTCCGTAGAAGGAAACATGGTATCCAATATGGTGTTGCCCAGGAACTTAGACCCACTCCCATGTATTTTAGAACAGATTTTTATGGTTATATTTTATGAAACCGCCAATATTTTTCAACAGCTGGGCATCTTTTAATTCATTTACAACACTTCGATGGATATTTCCAGAGATTAATGGTAAAAACTACACATTGTCACTTTTCCTTTTAACTCTGCTGTGGTAAAGCAAAGGCTTGGCAGAGGAGCAATCGAGCTGCTGCACAGAGCTCATCTTACCCCATGAAAACGATGACAAAGTCCAATATGTTCCAACAGTTCCGTAAATAGGCCCCTTCATGGAACACAAGCCCATACGCTATGATCTTCAAGAAGCACTCTAACGTGAAGATGATGAGGAAGATAGACTCCAGACTTTCCTGTAGAAAGAAACAAATCTGGCATTGTGATGTCACATCACTGGCATTCAAATCTGTCAAAAGATATTAAAAATGTGACGTATAACACAGTTGGTTTGATGACTGCCAGTGTCGTGGATCCTGTTTGTGACTAAATAACCAGTGTTTAGTAAAAATGTTACCGGGATTAAAACCGTTTATGCTTAGCTCAACGGGGACAGTCGTACTTTAGCATCTCAGTAAAACAACCAGCATATTTTTTAACAGTATGACTGAGGTAACACGAGAAAAGGTTGGTGTACTTTGTCTTGGCTGACCTACTTCTGACAGCAACATGAGGGTGAACCATCTCTCCTTACAGTTTTCACCTCGGAGGAACGAAAGTAAGAAGCAGAAACATTTTGGCAGGAGGGAGGAGAGCGAGCCGAAGCAAATTTGTTTAAAAACACGGTCAAATTCAAACAGTTTATGTTTTTCTCTGTAAATTGAATGTGTGTTAATCTGACACAAAGGTTCGTAGAGTTTAGCAATGTGCAAATCTCAAAAATACACAATTTTTCAGGGACAGATTTCCCTCTTTGGCAGAAGTCGTTTAAGAAATTTGTAGAGATTTTGATGACTTATCTTTTTCTCAGCAGCTTCTTTGGATCTGCTGAATATGTTTAGTTTAGTTTCCTGTGAGGGAACTTCACCACTTGATAAGATTTAATCGTTAGGTGCTCAAAAATGGCTCTGAACAAGACTTTGTCTAATCAACAATAGAGTCAAGTCAAAGTTTATTTCACTATCTAAAACCACCTCAAAGTGCAATTTTAAATAATAAATACTGGACGTCTGTGGCCGCATTCCATTAATCTGTGTTCAAGCTTGTTTAATGTTTCTGGAGTGAAGCAGCCACAAACCATGATACAACCTCTGTCGTGCTTTTTTCTTCATTGTTTGGTGCTTTATTTTATTTGCTGTTTCGAAAAGTTTCGAACTGGAAAACCTGATTAGACGCAACTTGGAAAGAGACGAGTGCTTTAAAATATGCAGCAGATGATTGGCTAAAGCATTTGTCAGTCAGTTGCTAAGTTTGTTTTGTGGTCAGAATTAAAACTTGACTTCAGGTTTCAGTAATACTGATGATTGGACCACAATTTTATATTTTCACTCTAAGTTACACCGTAGAGCAAAATCTCATAATCTTGAGTGTAAATCTTACAATAATCCATATTAGCCTTGGGTTCATCTATTAGTCCTGCTGGTTTTAAAGAGTTTTCTGTTGGTGGTGATGCTCATGTTTACATCAACAACCTTTAGTCCTTTAATAGGCCGAGTCTTTCTATCCTGGGATTATAACCGCTTCTGGACTGACTTGCTTTGATGAAAATATAATCTGATTTGGAAAGGATTTCAAGGATTTTTTAATATTTCTAAAACATTTCTGATGCTCTAATAACTCAGCATTCTCTCACATTGAGATGAAAAAAACCACAAGGTTGTTATAACTCCTTTAAGTCATCAAAAACACCAAAATCTGAATCCAAGTCGTGTAAAATGTAATTATTAAACATACAAGTCTTGGATTTTTTTCCTGATTTTGTTTCTTCTTCATTTATTCTGTCCAAAAAGGCCAAAGCAATTCAATATTTTATCATTAAGACTGCTTTTGCTAATTGAACTAATGGGTGTCACAGAGACTAAGCAGGTTTTTATTTGCAGGATTTACCTCAGATTTATTTTCTGACATTTAACACACCACCCACCACTCCGTCGCAGTGAAAACACACACCTAAGATGCTGAAAGACAATTATTTGGACACACATCAGCAGAAACACGTCTTTGAAATGAGAGACTAAACCACCTACTGCCTTGTTGTGCTTTAGGATTTAGGGCAGAAAACAAAGCAAGTACATCTTAAATTAATGCAGTGAACTTTTCCATTCACGTGTTCATTGGCTGTCCCTCTGCAGACACAGATGGGACTCCAAATAAAGAACTGAGTTGTATTTAGAGGCCTTTAAATGGGGCTGAAGGGCAGCTGCAGCCCTTAGCCACTGCAGGTTCAAAGCCAAAACCTTCACGATGGATGTTTCTACAAAACCAGCCACTGGAAAACAAATGAAAGCGTTTCTATGTGTACATCAGCCTACCAATCTGGAGTTGGTGTTGTTGCTGTCTTCTTCGGGCATGGGCAGGAACACAGCCAGAGCAATACAGTTAGCAAAGATGGTCAATAAAATAATGATCTCAAATGTTCTGGGTGGGGGAGTTAAGGATGATGAAGCGGAGAATCTATATGATAATAACCAGCTCATACACACGCTGACAGAGGGACGGGTGAGTGTTTTTGATGTAGACAAGGTGTGTTTTGCACGTTTTAACCAAACATAAAGTAGACCAGCAGCTCTGATCACTGGCTTTAAATCCTGCCTGAAACACCATCCCTAAAGCAGCTCGTCGGGCGGCTGGCGTTGCTGCTGCAGCTCCTGTAATCCTGTCTGCTGTGCTGCCCCATTCTCATCCATAGGGGGCTCTCTGAGAAAATTCCCCTGCCAGGTCAGCATTATGTCTGTGTGATGCCGCGGGACAGCTGCGAGGCCCAAGAATATGACAAACCGTTTAAACACGGACGGCTCATCAGAGGAAAGAAATCCCTGGTTATGTTAGCAGATGTTGGTTTTATTCACACGTCTATTTCTACTGACAAAATTTAGAGCAGCTGATCAGTTTCTATTACTCAGTTCGTGAATGGTTGCTGCTTTTACAGCATCCAGACCATAATGATTAACATGGTAATGCAACACATTTGGCAACAAACAATAAACTGTAATTTTTGGTGATTTAATAAGAGAAATGTTTTGAAATGATTGAGATCTAATAAAGATTTCCTATTTAAAGGGTTATTTTTAGATTTTGTGTAACTGATTGATTTAAAATGGTGGGAAAATTATGCTTTATGGAGCTAGGACTGGGACAAAATTACGTGTAACTTGTACCAAGTTTTGTGACTTGTAACATGTTGAACTTGGAACACCTTCTTTTTGTTACTTGCAGAAAAAGAAAATCACAATTCTCAAAACACACATCTCAGTCTACAGTCACAAAACATTTTGTCCCAATTCTAGCTTCCTTCCCCAAAGAACCAATGAAAAGCTTTGTCTTATCAGTCAATCATGTGTCTCGGATATTCTGCTCTAATTGAAAATGTAAGTTCATTATTTACATCAGTTTAATTTCTCTAAAAATGACTGCCACCTACTGTTAAAGAGTGACAATGTAAGTTTGGTTGTGAGCCGTACAACAGACCTCTGCCCTTTTTGCCATGATTGGACAGGAATCTAAAACCTGGGGCACACTGAAGACAGACACGCCGCGCAGCGGTTTTGGGAAATCAAATTGTCACACAGGAAGCGCCGCCGAGCGCTTCTCGGAAAGTCAATAATCACAACATCATGCGGGACTTGAGAAAGTGACTCTTTTGTTTTTACATGCACAGACTTGTTGTCGTGTTGTCAGACTCTACGTACGCTATTTATTAGAATATTTTAAGATCAATAGTACTTTAAAGTTATCAAAACTGCGGCTGGCTTTGTGCCGTAAAGCCGTTCAGCGTCTTGTCTGTTGTAAAGTACTCCACAATATTGTAAACAGCCACGCCACGGAAGCACCACAGCGCATGAAATAGAACTGGTGCCTATCTTCAGTGCCTCGGCGTTGCGCTCCCCGTGTAGTAATTCTCAGTAACTATAATGGCTTCTACTTAAAATGGCGGCGCGGTGCATCTGTCTCCGGTGTGCCCCAGACCTATGATTGGCTGGTCAGACAAGGCTTGTTATTGGTTCTTTGGGAAAGGAAACTAGAATTGGGACAAAATATTTTGTAACACGTAGATTTAAGTTTTGTAACTGTAAACCTTTAGTTTTTTTATTTTGAGTTATTTGAAACTTGTACATAGATTTTTTAACAAGTTACAAAATGAAAGTTTCATGTTACGTACCAAAGATTAAATGTTATAAAATTAGAATTATGTGTTACAAAATAAAAGCTATGTGTTGCAAAACGTTATTTACATGCTACAAAGCAAAAGGTGCTGTTACAAAACATGTTACAAGTTACATGAAATTTTGTCCCAATCCTTGCTCCATAGTACATCTGATCATGTTCTCTCTGTTCTACAATCTTCATATGTTCCTTATTATTTATGACATTTTTGCTACGAATCAAAAGTGTTTGAACACTTAAACCACTTCTCTGATGACATCAGATTTAAATAATGTTTGATCACAGCTGCTGTTTTCACCCACAGGTCCCAATAAAGTGTAAAAGGTGTGATTTTGAAAGGATACTTCCACTCCACGATGTTGGTGCACGCCTTGCGGAAAGGATTTTTTAGTGAGAAGAGGAAGAGAGTTCTGGCAGGGCGAGGATTGCCCCCCGTGGCCTGCAGCTTCTTCAGCTTCTCCCTCTGCTTCCTCTTCAGTTCCTCCTCGTTCATGATGAACGACTTGTTTCCCTCTGCGTTGGCTGCCATCCTGATTCCTTCACTTTACACAAACTTTAAATTCCAGAAAATACGTTTCCTCTTGATGTAAAATCCCAAACTCTCTGATGCAGCATGTAACTTCCTTTAGTGGCGCCCCCAGGGCTCCAGATCAGCCTCTCTTGTGTTGGTCTTCCTCCTGCTGCCCTCTTCTCTGGCTCCCTCTCTCTCCCCTGGCTGAGGGCCTCTGACAGAAAAAAGCTCACCCCAGCAGAGAAAAATAACAGAAGCTCAGGGAAGCTGGAAGTAGAGAGCAGTTGGCCTTGCAGCAGTTTAAATTTAGATTGTGAACCACTGGCAGGCCATGCTTGGGGATGGTTTAGAGGGCAGAGTGGAAGGAGGGGCAGCAGAGAGCAGAAAAAACAAGGGGATTAGGGGGATCATCCTGCAGCAGCAAACCAAATCTAAAGTGTAAACAATGTGGCTCTTTTGGAAAATATTCTCCTGGGAGCAAGATTTGAATTCCACACTTATTGAAGTGTTTGCATGAAGGATATTTTGTTAAATGAGAAACTTTGATGATAAATCTGGCTTTCACATGCATACATTTGCACACATGAATTATTAAATATAAGCATTCAATATGTTCTCATGCTGTAATTATCAGTAGATGATGCACGTTTGGTGCAGCAAAACAGTAAAAGGGACCTCCTTCCTTTTAATAACGTAGGAAGGATGTTTATTAATTACTATATTTAATTAGCTACATAATTCTGGGAAACAAAAAATGTTCATTAATTCACATAAAAATATTTTACTTGTATTAGTTTTATGTAAACCACACACGTTGGATGACATCTGCTCTCTGACATGTTAGTGGTAACGGAGTAGCCCCTGGCTGCATCCCGGATATCGGGGCGGGGCTAAATGTGGGCGGGGTTAAACGTTTAGAGGTGGGTGGAGACAACTATTTGACTCCTGCCCCTCTCTCAATGGAACCAGGAAACCGCGAGTAGCCCCTTTCTAAGGATTAGAAAGCCCTAAAAACCCACAAAACCCATGTAAAGCATAACATTGGTAATCAAATGACTTGTTTGCTGGATGTCATGATAATTTTAAAGAGCAGATAATTACAGGCGCCATTTTTGATCCAATCTGTTCTGATATTTTTATTCTTTTTTCTACTTTTGTATGGTATGTGTATTTATAGCACACAGGTATTTGTGTCTTTTAGCTATACTTTTGGTACCTATATAAAAGGTTCAGGCATTTGACAGACTATTCTTTAAACCTGTCAAAACCATTTTAATAGTTGATTTTATCAATGCCGCCTTTATTTTAATAGTCATTTCCCAAGTGAGTGTAAAACAGTACAGACACGGGTAAATTTGTTGTACACTCAGTTATATCAGCTACATTAAGAGGACCAGAGACTTAAATTGTGCTGATACTTCTTAAAACATGCCAGGGTTTGAGGCGGGGTGGTGAGACATTGTGTGAGACACCCAAGAATGCAGACTAAATTTTTCAAAAAAGGTAAATTTAATAGAGCAAACAGCCAACACAGAAAAAAAAAAGTACAAACAAATGAACCAAAAAGCACACAAAAAGCAAGAGAACCTCCAAAAAAACAATGTGAGGAGGAAAAAGAATGCAAAAACTGTGACACCGCTGTACTATGGCATTTCAAAGCCAGAAAACACCCTGATCTTCCTTTTTTCCTCAATTTCTCTGCAGAACTCCTCATAGTCTGACTGAAAACTAAACATGAACAGGAACGGTTCCCTGCAATCGTTCATCTCCTCTTCATCTAGGCCATCACAGAAGCATAACCTCTCCACTGCCCTCCGGCAAGCTTCCCTGTCCATGGTGATGACCTGGGGAAGGGAAAGGCTTCTTTTGAAGGACCTTGTGGTACACCACCTTGCTGCCTCAAAGGTGTCCTCAAGCAGAGAATTCTCCTAATCAAAAATAAAGACAATATTAAAATTACTGCTGTCAAGAGATTAAAAACATATTTTACATTAATTATGTATGATCTGAAAGTAATCTAATCTTTTAATTTAATCTAATAACTGTACATAATATAAGCCTTATTTTCAATGCTAACAGCTAACCAAACAGCTGATGCTGTGGTCTTTCCAAACTGCAGCACGGATGTGCGTCTGATACAGGAGAGAAGCTGTCAGCAGCCTTGATTCTCAGTGACGCACCCATTACATCCAAATGGTAACAATAACTTTGGAAAAAGTTGCAAGAAGGGTGAAAAAAACAGAGTAAAGATAACAAGGTCGCTGAAATGAACACTGCTGCAGCTAATCTCTCACCGGTCTTGTCACTGTAACGTCAACCCTTCAACTTATGAGTTTACATCAACCCTTCAAGAACACCAGCAAGAAGCGTAAAAGAAAAGAAATTGGTTTATTTAAAAGTCCCATAAAGAAGCAGTAGATTAAAAATGATTAACATAATTAAAATATATAACATGTTAATCATGGCTGTAAAAAATTAATTGCAAGTAATGGAATTATTTGAAACCTCTAATTAAAATAGAGGTTGGAGAAGAAACAATGACACAAGAAAAGCCAACAATATAAAACATACTCTGTTCCCTGTGTCCAGTTCCAGCAAGTTCTCAGCCTCTGCTAGAAAGGAAAAAGATTGTGGTTCATAAAAAGCATATTAACAGTGAAAGTTGTAAAAAAGATCAGTTGCTTAGTATTCTGGTTTAATGAAAATAGAGAAATGACTGAAAAACTTGCTTTGAAAAAAAAAGTGCTCGTCTGGAACGGTCTTAATTTTCTAATCTTGGCAAAGTAAGAATTTCATTGTGCAGAAAGCGTGTTTTTCTAGCTGTACATATGACAAAAAGTTGAATCTTGATTCTTCCCACATCCCATTTCGACAACCTAGGGGGTTGTGTACAATAATACTTGTTTGAACAATACCTGATGCTGCACAGACTAATTCAGTATGGCAGGACTTCTTAGGAGGGACCACTTCCAGGCCCTGAAATAAGTGAAGGAATTATGCTTTAGTCTGCAAGCAACAGTTAAACTACAAGAATTAATCAAATTGTCTCTCACCTGTTTTACTCTTTCCTCTCTCCGTCTTTTTCGTGCCTGCACCCTGTCTTCCTCAGACCTTGGTGATACAATGACAACATTCATTCACTATGAAAACATTAATGTTATTCTGTTGACACTTGACTGAGCAAAACGTTTATATAATTACACGTATCAGATTAGCACTCTAACCATAATAATAAAGCCCATCAGGTGTAGAACTCAGATACAAACATAAAAAGCTTAAAAAACTAACATTTCCCCCTGTAAAATATATTTTCCACCAAAAAGTAATCACGACCACACAACATATCTCCCCAAAGCTATAAAAGTGTTCCTACAGGTTTCTTCAACTTAAAATTAAGTCTGTTTAAGATCTTTCTAAAGCCATATAGAAAATTAATACCTATTTCACAGCACTATCAGCAAAAAAGTAAATAAATAAAATAAAATTCTTGAACTAGTTTTCATTTATTTATCTATACAACTTTACCAATATATTTTGACAAAACACTGGGTGGGCACTTGGTAGAAGATCGGTGATATTTTTAAACAAATGGTTAAAAATATAACCGGATCTCTGGTTTTACATTAGAACCTTAACAATAATTTTTGTTGCCTATATTTTAGTTTAATTTTAAGACGTTTTTTTTTATTATTGTTAATTTTATTACCCTAATTTCTTGCAGTATTTCTATTGTATAAAAGCAACAGTGCAAACAGTAAAGACACAAAATTGAAATAAATGTCTAAAAATAGCCTTTATTAATACTAGTGCTTCTCTTCATGTCATCACTTGTTTGGAATATTTTGATGAACTTCAGAAGAAAAATGCAGTACAGAAAACTTACATCCAACACAAATTTTAAGACCCAGATGCCAAAATTGAAGGGTTTCTCTAGTCTTTTAAAGGTATTACTTTCAAATTCATAAATTCAATGCTTTTAAGACTCCGCGGGAACCCTGTAAACATTTCTCCTCAAAAGTAAGTCACCCCGCATGTGTAAAATAGGCTATATGTATCATCTAAAACTCATAATGGGGAAAAAACCTTTAATTTCCAAGTTCATAAAACGTTCGCCCAACATTGGTCCTCGATATTGTTAAAACAGAGAAAGAAAAATCCTGGCTTACCTTGATTTTGGCAGCTACTTCCCTCTGTCCCGGCTACAGCATTGCACACACACAGCGGTTTCCTGGTTCCATTGAAAGAGGGGCAGGACGCAGGAGTCAAATAGTTGTCTCCACCCACCTCTAAACGTTTGACCCCGCCCACATTTAGCCCCGCCCCAATCTCCGGGATGCAGTCAGGGGTAGTTGTGGTAACGTCATCGTGGCGTTTATTTTAATGGCGGTGTACTCTGTCGCCCCCTGGTGGCAGATAAAATAATTGCTTGTACTAAAGATGAAGTCTCCAAACATCTGAAAGAATGAATACACGTTTTTTTTTCTTACATTTATTTAAACACTTAGCCCAAGCCTGAGCTTTGTTGAGTCAGGCTAAAGATAAATATGCAGCCTGAGGAAAATAAAACTAAACATGACCACATCCTGGAACTGATTCTGTTTTATTTCATCTCTTGCGGGAATAGATTTTTATTCTTCCATTAAACATTCCATCATGTGATCTTATAATGATTGAGAGCGGCCGTGCGACACATCGGTAGAATTTTTTCCTCATCTAAAAAGGTTTCGGTAACTCTAAATATTTTACATCAAATTAAGAAACAAAACAAAGACAAAAATAAACTCCATTAGGAGTAAAAACTGAAACTTCAGATGCAGAATTTCATGCAAAAGACCACAGATTGTGATGGTTTGATAAAATACATTTTTGCATCAAAGAGCTGGAAAAATGGACAATCAGTTTCAAAGAAGCAACAGAAATTTAACCTACCCAAAAAATAACGATCCTTAGTGCAAACAATGAAAAAGTCTGAGTTTAAAAACAATAAATTACAACTAAACTAACATCTGTAGAATCCTGTGAGCAAGCTGATCTGTAGAAACAACTTCTTCTTTAATCATGCAACACTTTTTTATATATATTTACAAATATTTTAAAAAGGATGACAACCCTAAAATAATTTAAATCTGAAGCAGCAGCATTGACATTCCTAGAAGCGACTGAGAAAATGTACTAATGGCGTGTGCAAAAGATGTTTACGCTCCACTCAGCTGGCTTAGCTTACAGTAGTTACCTTATAAATTATACGACAATGAATTAGACGAACATGTGAAATGTTTTAAAGTGAGGAAACAGCAATGCAGTCAAAGCGGTGCTGATCAGTGACAACCAGGTGTGTGATAACTCAGCTGGTGACCGTGTGACAGCACAGAACTGGGAAGGTTGCATCCTTTAACCCTTAAAGCCTTCAACAGAGCTCTAACTTAGCAACTTGTGCCGGTCGAAAACAGTCTTGCGCTGTTCCTGCACCTGCTTCTTCCAGCGCTGCTGTGCCCCTTCAACTCGCTCCAGAACTGTGTTTCCTCTGGCCGACCCGCTTTCTGCACGAGGACGCATCTCCTAAACACACACATAAAAACTGTTTCAATCCACAGCTTTGTAAAAACTGGAATGTACCAGATGCTCGAAATGTGCCGTTTCTTTGGTTGGTCACCTCGGAGTCTTCCTCGTTGTGCAGAGGCTGAGTGTACGGGTCGTGCTTGCGGATCAGTGGATCCACCAGGAGCAGAAACAGCATGTAGAGGAGCAGTGCACCCACAACAGACAGGTAAATGATGATGGTTACCTGAAACATTTAACATAAAGAACAAATAACGTTTAGGATACTGGGCTAAAACAGAAACAACCAAACTCAGAGACAGTCAGCTGTACCTTAATGGTGTTGCTGCTCCGCTCCTCATATTTACATTCACATAACAAACAGTACGCTTCCACATCATGACCAGGAACTGGCATGGGCTCCACTACATGGAGGCACGTACTGTAAATACATGAAAACGTTACGTTCATTGGGCACATCACGGTTATAGAATATAAACAGATTAAAGTCGGGCTGGATTATATCTCTTTGGAACAAGAAAACAATTAATGAGGTCAAAATTTAAAAATGATTCTATCTTATTAAAGGAGTCATCACAAGTATCTACGTCATATTAGGTCATAAACATAATTTGTATTGGAAAAAAAAAATCAAAAAGTGCTTTTCTGACCCTTTTTTTTGTAAAGGACGTTTTCTCGCGAGAGCAAAGGCGATATTTTGGCTGTATGAAAAGGACATTAGAATAATGCAAATGAGTTGATTGGTGGTAGGAAGCAGGGGTGTTGACACCATATGTTTCGCTTCAGCATCTCTCTCCAAAATAAAGTGCCTGTGACGGATAAATTCTGCCTTACCGTTTGAATTTCAGGTAAGTTTCTCAGTGTTGGAATCTCCCCTCATTCTAGATGAATCCTCAATGCCATCTTCGCCTGATATAGCCCCAAAAGTTATAAAGCATTCTGGCTTAAAATGGCTAGCACAGACATCGAGAGTAGTGGGGAGAGTTTCAGGAACAGCCATCCACTTTCAGCTGCTTAGCCGGAGTCGGGTCACTGAGGCAGCAGCCTAAGCCGGGATGCCCAGACTTCCCTCTCTTCAGCTACTTGAGCCAGCTCTTCCGGGGGAATCTCAAGTCGTTCCCTGGCCAGTCGAGAGACATAGTCTCTCCAGCGTGTCTTGGGTCTCTTCCCAGTTGGACGTGCCCGGAAAACCTCATCAGGGAGGCGTCCAGGAGGCACCCTGACCAGATGCCCAAGCCACCTCAACTGGCTCCTCTCAATGTGGAGGAGCAGCAGATCTACTCTGAGTCCCTCCCGGATGACTGAGCTTCTCACCTTATCTCTAAGGGAGAGCCCAGACACCCTGCGGGGAAAACTAATTTTGGCTGTTTGTATCCGTGATCTCGTTCTTTCGGTCACTACCCAAAGCTTGTGACCGTAGGTGAGGGTGGGAACGTAGATCAACCAGTAAATCAAGAGCTTTGCCTTCCAGCTCAGCTATCTCCACCATGACAGACCAATACAACACCCGCATCACTGCAGACGCTGCACCAATCCGCCTATCGATCTCACGCTCCAGCGCTGTTAAAAATAAAAGAAATCCACAAGCTTCCCAGCTTCCCGTGACCGTTGAAACGACGTCAGTCCGAGACGTCCCGTCATGGTTAAAAAAATTAAACCGCCGTGTTTTCTGGCAGTGAATTCAACGTTTTTCAGCGCATCTCATTTAGACGTCTAACAATAAAAATTTGAGCATCTTATTACTTTATTACAGTAAAAAACATATTTTAAAAAATTAAATAATTGCAATCTGAGTCAGAATCTCATATGTCCCAGCCTGAATTTGAACCCGGGTTCTCTGTGTGTAAGTCGGGTGTCTTGCTAACTGAGCTGTCTCTTCGACAACTTTTGTTAACTGAAAAAAATGTCTATTACCAATAATGGTGTTAAAACCCAGCAAACATTTGGACCCTTGATCACAGCTGAAATTACGTCAGAGCGATAAAAGTTTAATATTTGAAATTACAAATTATTATTTTTATATTTTTAACGACGACTAGTTGTCTTTTCTGGCCGTGAATTCCACATATTTCACAGCCTTGCTGTCGGACTAATGTTTGCTGGGTTGGTCTGATTTTGGTAAAACAAACACATTTGTGTGGAGTTTGCAGTCAACAACTGAGCAGCTCACATGTGAAACACACTTCAACATTTTCCGTTCTCCTGATTTCAGTAATGGCGGTGCTCGACTGAATTTGAGGGGAAGCAGAGCAGTGCGGGCTATAGCGGTGTTGCTCTGCGTTGTCCATATATGGTACTGTACATCCTGCCTTTGTGACAACATCAAGGCCAGAACTCAAGGGGCTCAGGGGATGCACCTGGGCTGGTTGAAGAAACCAAGAGTAAAAAAATGATCAGTGTTAAATGTTAAATTATCGGCTTCCCGGCCAGTGAAAAATAATTAGGAAGTCATTATATTTACAGTTTTTCAAGTGGAAAAGTGAAAACTTCAGGTGATGACTCCTTTAATATAAAATAATTAGAACAATACCTTCCTGCAGGCTGCTCAAACTCACCCTCCTAAAAGGATACTTTGTCGCAATAAAGTTCCTTACCAATCTTTCTGGGTGACATTTTTGTTATAGATGTGTCCAGAAATGTTTCTGTAGGGTGGGCAGATGCACTTGCAGCGCACATCCTCAAAGTTCTGCAACAGTCAAGAAAAGTTAATTAAAGATTGGGTCTTCTCATTGATCCACGATGCATTTTAAGATATTTTGCACATATTTGACTGCACAAGATGCAACATTGTTTTTAAGGATGTGACCTTAATATAGTGGTAGATTGAAGATAAAATCACACACATATAAAGGTTTTCTCTGACAAGCACTAATTTATGATTTTGCTCTAATATGCAATGAAAACATAAAGGGTAGATCTGTTATAATGTAACACAAGTTACTGAGTTGACACTGAAAATCAAAATAATACAAAAACAAGCTCTAACAGGACATAAAATGGTCGGTTTGTTTTTACCTTGGCCTGAACAGGAACAGCAGTTTCCAGCAGCAGCACGGTCACTAATGTGGCTGGAACAAAGACCCAGGATCCACCTCGGCCGGGCATTTCAACTAAAAGGACAACAGGCTGCACGACGACAGCACAAATGACCACAGTGTCAAAACAAAACATACAACTAGCAAGCTAGCACCTAGCCAAGTTAGCTAACAGGCTAACACAAAAAATGAAACAAATATCACGTCAAACGTTGACTCTGAGATTAAAATAAAATGTTATTGCGTATAATGGCATATTTAACTTACGCTGTAACAGCAGAAAAGCTTGTTTTATGAACATCCAGAATCCTGCTACATGCGGTTTGGTTGCAGCTGAAAAAAAAAATCGTCAAGTTGACTCTAAACTTCCGGATTTCGGAATCATCACTGACCTCCCATGAACACGGGGTAATGGCGCCTCCTGCTGGTGAAATGTTAAAATAACTTTGAAATTCTTAAACTTTATTTAACAAAACAGAAAAGAACAAAATAATAAATTCCAAGAACAACACACGAATCCAAACATTCACACCCCCTTCAAGATGTCAAATTAAAAGAGAGGAACACCCTCTGGTGGGAGGTATATTAATCAAATATACAAAAAATAAAAATAAAAACATTAAAATAACAATAGTTACAAAAAATTAAAAATAATAAAAAAAAGAAGATACAGAGGGAACAAGATGAAATTTAAACGATTTATAAAACCATTCAAACACGGAATACCAAAACAACAGACATTTTATATTAAAACTAAATGAGTTCAAGAAGGAATACGCTGCCAAATGAAGGTGATTGATGGCCACATACGCTGTCTATAAGGGATTTATGTGACTAATCTTTTAGTATCTGGCTTTCAAGAATAAGGATTTTTTTCCACTCCCCTGTGGAAATAAGCTGCTTTCTTGCGTTTAGTACGCTCAAATGTTATTTGAACCCAAACAAAATGACAAAACAACCTAAATTTGCCACAAGAGGGCGACATTTGTTCAGCAGTGTGGCATTCATAAATGAGAGCAATAAAGGTGGCACTTTTTCTTTTCACCCACAACTACTATTCACTTATCCACAGTTACATTCGCTGCAAAACCACTTTTTAAATTAATTTAGCAGTTTGTTTTCTTGTTCAAATGAGCAAACATGTATCTGGATCAACTGAACAGAAAATAATGTTTTCATTCATCTCCAAGATAAAAATTTACACGGTGTTCATTATTGCTGCAGGTTATAAAATAATCAAGGTAGACAAAAAATAAATGTGTAATAAAAATACAAAAATCCATAAATAACAAGGAATAAAATGCACAGAGACCACAATCATAGACTGAAAGTGCTACACACACATAACAACAAAGCAAAACAAAATTACTCCAGTATTCATACAGGTGTGACTTTGAATACATTAAATATATAAAAGAAGAGAAAACTGCAAAACCACCTACAACACAATAAGCATATCAGGTTTTTAAAAAACCAAATGAACCACATAGTTTAGCATTATATGGACCGGCAATTACCTGGATGACAAGCATTAAATATAAGTAACAACTATCATAAAAATGTTAACAAAATCATTTCAATATTTAGTCAAATGAAAAAACAAAAAGTTATTATTCCTATTCTATCTTCCCTTTATTAATTTGTAAAATAAGCCCCAGAATCATCAGCCAATACACCTATTTCCTGGTAATCCTGCTTTCACATTTCTCTGTACGCTAAGACACTCATACCTATAAGTAGTAAAAATCAATCACTGAAAAATTCCGCCCCGACCATTCAAGCCTCTGGTCACCCGGATCAATGGGGACAGGGGTTATTTCTCCAATGAGCCATGATATCAGCATGAGCAAAACCACACCTGCTTTGTGTATCTGCAATCATTCATGCAGCCCTCCAGTCAGCTGACAAAAAACAAAACAAAACAAAACAAAACAAAAAATAAAAACTGCCAACGACTCTTTAATTCTGCACATATTTTGGAGAAATAAAAGATATTCAAATGAATTTAGGTCCATCAGATTATATGCATTTGCTTCAAGCAAGTAGGGAATAATTTGTAAAAGTAAACAGAGCAATAAATTAATGAATATGAATGACTGGAGACTCTAAAACTCCACGGGGTGAAGGTAAGATTCCCTCTTTCTTCTAGAAAAGTATCTCAGAAATGTAGTTTTTTACGGTTCACTGTCATGTTGTGAGGGTGGAGATGGTGGGACCATGTGTGGTGCTGGTGGGTTCAGGAGGCAGAAGACCAGGCACGGATGAAAAATAAAACTGAATTTAATTACAGAACGGGAACAGCAGGAACACAACACAACACAACACAACACAACACAACACAACACAACACAACACAACACAACACAACACAACGATGACTTGAAACAACAACAATGATCTGACAAAGGACAGGGGCAAAACCGGTGGTATAAATACAGAGGGCTAATAGGGAAACATGGGCAGGTTAATGAGGGACAGGTGGGAACAATAAGGGTAATCAAGGCAGGAGAGGAACACAGTCAGGAGGGCAGGGGCAGATCGTGACATTCACCAAGCAGAACCTAATGAGGGAGGAAGATGTTTGCTGTTGGAAAATCCTTGTTTTTTTACTGATGAATTGATGAATATTAGAATATTTATGAAGCCACATTTATGGTTCAAATCTGGAGAAAATAAAAACTCAAATTTTTTTCTGTCTTAATAAGTAATGAGATTTTTTTATTGTTAATTGACAAGATTGAGTTAATTTGAACACATGGTACTTTGAGTTGTTACTGAAATAAGATTAAAATGTCATCGCTTTTTGATATTTTAATATTCCTTTGAATACATAACTTACTTGTGCACCATTTATTCTTTCTGTTTATATATTTTTTTTTACAAAGAAATCTCCTCAGGTGGTGATTTCCTGAAGCTTTCTGCCTACAGTGAGTTTCCATCTTTCACCTCTGTCAGCGTAAAGACACTTAGTTCTCTGTGCTCTTTGATGAGAGGCTGCCCTTTACACCCTCAGGCCAATTACAGCATAAATGACACTGACCGCTGCTCAGTGCCACGTCTCATTATCGGTTCAGAGTTCTCAAGGAAAAGGTGATCAGGCT